AAAATTGGGTAGGGCGAACTACTGGCAGGCCGAGAAGGAGGAGATTTTCCCGGCCGCCCGCAACTTCTGCAACGAGGCATCCGGTGTTTAGGCTTAAGGGTTAGAGAGGGTCGGGGTGATTCAATCATGCTGTACCACTCCCGAAGGCTCAGCTGGTCATTTGGCAATGTGATTACATCAGACTAGGTAGTCGCGGCCGTCGAAGAGCAACATCATAGATAACGACCTGTGATTTCAACGCGCTGTTGGCAGCATGATGCATTGTTGCTGATCGGATCATTAGCCTGCCCGTTTCTGAGAGAAGTGTCACTATCATGGGAATATCGACTGGCCTTTGCAAAGCCTTTTGCACAACTTAATTTTCTCAGATGGCGAACTGAAGTTCAAGTTTTTCATTCAAGACGAGCTTGCCCACTCGCCTGTCGATCTTCAGGCGTTGCAAGAAGCTCCTCACTTCCCCCAGGCAGTCCTGTGTCTGGCAAGGATGGATGCTCGGATGGTAAAGCCCCATGAAGCACCAGGAAAGTGTTCACAGTTCACCATTGCTAGCCCGACCCGAATGTAGTTTGTTTGCGTCGTTTCGAGCCTTGTTGTTGTGTTTTGCAGCTGGGAGGGGGAGGGGTGGGAGTTCTGTATGCGTTGCAGAGTCCCGAGGGCACAAGGCAGCGACTCCACAATGTGTTGAGGGCGCCAGACTTGATTTAGATGGGATCAGAGTAGTTAGTATTATATTAGCAGTAAGGATTCCTCATTATGAGTCGGACCCCTATGAAGGAGTCCTCATTGCATATACTCATATGGACACACCCACATACCCGCGCAATCACATTTATTTGTACATGATCAAATGTTTTTTGTGCGGAACTCAGGTAACGAGAAACGGGAACATCCAAGCACATATGTACTTTCAGAGACCAGCGGCGGTCAATCCAGCAATATCTGTTGATTAATCCTGTGCCGTCCCTTCCGAGAAGGCACGGAGACTTGAAGAACTAGCTATTGCTCTTGTGATTTTCGCGCCTTGAAGCATGCCGCTTGAGATCATCAAGTCGGTCTCATACAAAGCATGCTGTGCGAAGAGGGGTCTCGTGTCTCCCATGTCGGTGCTGAAGCACACTTCAGTTCCCGCGCAGAGAGCGCATGTGTCTGCTGCAATGAACCTGGGAGGCAAGGTGAGTTCTTTGAACATGCATGTCGCAACAGAATGAGACTCTCTCCCTGCAACAAGGAATTGGCCAAGTCCGAATACACCGCTGTGCAAACTTTGTTTTGCAAGGCCTTGCGATCCTATGGGAGCCTGGGCAACATAGAAATCTGGATGGGTACGTAACATTATGTTGTATTCTAGTAAGTGATTATACCTTATTACCTTACCTGAAATTCAGCTACATTCATTAGATTGGAGTCTGTAGCCTGTATACATCCAAGCATGTGATTGAATAGCTTCCTCTCGACTTCAGAGTCGAATCCTTTATTCGCCAGCAAGCCCGACGCCCGACGCCCAAAGCCTATTGTAGCGGCCTGAAAAATTTCCTATATTATGTTGGGGGGGGGGGG